AGTTCCTAAACCAACTAGTAACGTCCAAAACTAAGTCTCACTGGTTAAAGGTAAGTCTCAATACCTCCACTAGTAGTAAGTACTCACTTGTAATACAGAATATATATATATATATATATATATATATATATATAATTATAAAATCATCATATTTACAGTAAGCTCTTTTAATATCATTACAGATTGCAACAGAGATTTCAGATATTGGTTAACACACTGGAATTAAAAGATGGCTCATTTACAGCATCAAGCCACCTCAGCTTTTCATTTCAACTGAGTACTTTTAACACCATCTGTGAAATAAATTCAAAACCAAAAAAGTTATGAAATAGAGCAAAAAAAGTAGATGGATGACATAACGAAATCAATAAAGCTTAGAAAAAATTAGGATAACTGATATTGAGGAAAAACAACTGACATGGTCAAATGAAGCTCCTGAAGAAACAAAGCAATGAAGACAAATTGATGATGAAAGACATGCAAACAGGTTCTGGCCTCCCTATGTCTTCCTCATGCATTAAACTTAAAGCATTTTCTAATGAAATTGTAGTTTCATTAAGAAATAATAACTTCTGTACAATGTTTATTAAAGATGAAAATTAAATGTTAATTGAGTAGGAATGTTTTATTAAACATACACTTGCTTTACTTCCAATAATGGATCACATCAAGTTTCCCAGCTACTGGAAGCCATTATAGTAGAAATTGCACTCTCAATAAAGTATACTTGCCCGTAACCTTATAAGTTGCTGCTACTTATAAACTTTTGATTGAAAAAATAAAATTAATCTGGACAATAACACAGTGTATCAGAATACAAGACAGTAACATACAAAAATGAGCATTACAGAAGAGAAAATGCTGCAAGATAGAAAGTGGAAAATGATTTACATCTTTCAAAAGATTAGAGCTCAAGTTGGGTAATTTGTATCATGACTGGTATAGTCAGATGTGTAAGAATTATGTGCAATTGGTTAAGAAATGTAATTATATATTAATATCAGATATATATTTATCCTGTTATTTGTGTTAGTCTGTTAAATAAAGCTGAGAATAACTGTTAAACAACAGTATTTGTTGGTGTGCTTAAGCATCATATTCAACATGTACAAATTACATATACTAATCTGAAGGTTTTTCTTCACCTTTATACGGGTATGGAAAGGATGTTCCATGTGTGCATTTTTTGAAATTGGTAAATAAAGTGTTGTAAAAATAACTTCTTTGAAAAAGTCACAAGCATGCAGATTTCACAATGAGTAAAAAGATCTAAAGATGAACTTTTCTTATATGTAATTTAGTAAGTTTACACATTGAATAAGCCAATTAAGCCACTACTGCTGAATGATACTATCATAGGCCAAGTTTACAAATGAAACTTACTTGCACGTGTACATTTTTTCTTTTTTTAAGTAGCATACACAACAATAAATGTCATGTTTTGGTAACTCAAAGTGTGTTTAGGGTTCATTTTGCTTTACACAAAAAGTTCCCTCTAGCAGGTTATTCACCTCCTTAAAAGCCAAAGTGGGTGCAGTATCCAAGAAATAGTAGCAACTGCCATCAATATTTCACTAACGAATCATTTGTAACATCTTAATAACTTATTCTAAAATTAAATGCCCATTTAAGTGTGTTTTGGATGCCATTTTGATAAAAACTGCCCTCATGCAGGATTTACAAATACCACCCAAAAGTCGCAACGATGTTTATCGTAATGCTGTATTATAAGACATGACAAGTACGCTTTCCCTAATGGAGTCTGACAGAAATAAGCTAGGGCAGAGAAACCCTTTACTGATGATTACTGTTTTAGTTTCAGAGAATTTGGTAGTCAGGGAACAATATACCAGGTGAGCAAGCCTGCATCAACTGCGTACACAATACAGGTGGGTAAATTCCTTTCTAGCGCCTTCAGGGCTAACATGCAATTTATATGTTTTTGTACACAGTGACAGTGGCATCCTCAATACAAACTGCCTCCCCTTCAGATTTGTTCCAGATCTGCAATTGTAATAGACTTGTATACAAATCATGAGTCTGGAGAAAATCTAATTCCTACAGTGGAGCATTTGAATCTGGAATGATCTTGTACCAAACTGATCTGTCAAAAAATAAAGGAAACAATTTAATGAACCATCTTTTCAAAAAATAGACTATGAGTTGTTAGTACAAATCTTGCACAGCTTCATTCTCTAAATTTTAACAAAAGATATCACTTTAGATAATATGGACATTTTTTTAGTTCATGAAATGTTTGTTGTTCTTCCTTACACATGTTCTGTTTATACTTAGAGGTATATTTCAAGATAGTGTTTTTGATTCCATTATTAGTTAGGTGTCTCCGAGATCATTATTGTCAGCAACCTGACATACTAGTAATTATATCAAGTATGAAAGTGTCAGGGAGGCACTGTAAAGTTTAATCCCTTATTGAGTAAGGTCATGTGACGCTGAGCCAGTTTCTTGCCCAAGAGATTAATAATGTTTAAATTTGTTGTCTTTGTTTCCATATTATTATGTTTCTTGCACATACTATTTCTACACTTTTGATATTAGTTTAAAACAAAATCAATGCTTTTATTAAATAACAGTGACCTTTACCTGTATTATATTTTACTTATCTATACATTGCAACAATTTACTCGCATCTTAAAGTTGGTTGTTTATTTTTACCTATATATACTTAAGTATACGTTACATAATCATGATAATGTGCTTAATAAACAGAAATTGTCTCTTTATTTTTAAAAAATGTCAGTGAATTACAAATACTACTGAAAAGAATAAATAGCAAAAAGAGATTTTACCTGAAAAAAACAAAAAAAAACAACACACACACACACAACAAGTACAAATTAACAGAGAGGTAGGGTGCAGGATCAGTTGTTGAAACAGTAACTAAAACCCCACAAAATAAAAGTAGTAGAAACATTGCTTAAGATCACCCTGAAAACAGAAGCTTATAATATTTATCAATGAAGGGGTACTGTAAAATATTTACATTTTATTCATCATACTGAGTAGAAGAATGAATATATATATATATATATATGGTTGACATTGTTTTCTGCACAAGACAAATTACAGGTTATGAAACTAATTTAAGTATGTGAAAAATGAGCACATTTAAATTTACATAAAGCAATAACGTAATTTTAAGTGTAACATTATGCATCTATTGTGTTCAAAATTACATTTATTAAAATAATGCATTTACTTACAACTGTTTAGCTAACTTATTGAGACTGTAAGAACTATCTCACAAAAACATGCAGCTTCAAGACCAATCCTACTAGTAATTTTGTTTCTCAAATTGTCTTTTTTTGACAGTAAACTACTAAGCACAAATACATGCAGAAACAGGTGTTTTATGACACTTTTAGAAAGCAGCCAACTAGCTTAAGTACATGCTTATGAAAGATGATGCTTTTGTCACCAACTTTGTTATGTGTCATGTGTTCAGTAAGAAGGTTCTTTAATATATCCTGAAAGTTTTACATGCAGCTACCCACCACTCTTACTGTTTAGAAGGAAACAATTGTTTAAACCTAAAGTCTTAAAACATTTATTTTTGACTACCAAATGTACATCAGGATGGACCTTAAGAACATAGAAGGGGTTAAGTCTTTGTGTGTTACCTACATCTATTTCTAAGTTGAGGGCTGTATTAAGGTAGTTGTTTGTTCTCAGCCCTTGAAACACTGTTGCTTTGAATGACAAAGGTAATGTCATTTTGAAAGGTCAGGTGCTTAGTTACAAATAAATCTGTCAGATATTGCCTTACTTTTTTTATGATATAGCTGGAAGTGGTGACTACTGCAATTGGCAAAATAAATTATCCAAATAAATGTTAGTAAATATAAAGTTGAAACCGACCAGATATATAAAATAGAACTTTCTGAACAACATTGAAAAAAAATGTAAATTCACGCATTTGTCTACTTTACAGAAAGTGAATTATTTATTGTCAATTCTGTGTATTTGATTTAAGGAAACAGAAATAAACGTCAAGAAGTATTTAAAAATTTAATGAATTAGTAATATTAATGAAGCTATTAGCAAAATAAGCAAAAACTATAATATTAATAATAAAATAAAAAACAAAATACCTTTTCTACCAACTCAGAACCATCTTGTTTCATCTTACTTAGAGCTTCTGCAATAGCCTGTGCTTCATTCTTGTGATCAGAATTAAGTTTTTTAACTGTAGCCTGATAGGAACTATTGTCCTTATTAACTTTGTATTTCATCAATGCTGCATCATATTGAAAATAAATGTCAGTCAGTTTGTCCTGATGTTTCAACACTCGTTCCACAAGACCAGAAGCATGTAGTCTGCTTTCCCGTTGTGGATCCTGAATAAAAAGAAGAAAAAAAAAACGAATAATTGTTTAGTATATGTAGTAATGAATTAACACCTAACAATTCAAATTTTCAATGCAAAATTAGAAATTTGTACAGACTAACAGTCAAGCTCTCACTGAATAATTAATTCATACAACCTTTGACAAAAATAAGTACAAGTTTTTGATAGTTTACCATTAACTCCAATTAAGGATATTAGCAAAATATCTGGTTTTGGATATCTATAAAATAAATTAATATATTTGGTTAAGGTGACTTTTCTTGGAGTAATTTTTTGTGATAACAGTTTAAAATTTACTTCAATTTGTTTAGGCACAGTTTACTTATAAATTCCATCATTTTGAGAACAGATTTTCTCTTGAGAGATATTCCACTGGCAAATATGAAATACCCTACAGGCACAATATTTCACAACCATTTATAAAGCACGATGTTCACAGAAAAAACAATAAGCCTGTCAAATTTCATTGGTGAATGTAATTTTATAAATTTTATTTACTATACAAAGCTTTTGTGCACAAGTATTTTCATTATTCTCAAGAACTTAGGTTAGAATTGTAGGAATACTAATTTTGATGTTTCTTTTTTAATACTTTAATCTTAGCCCAAATGTTAACATTTTCTTAATCTAAAAATGCATTTCTGATAGATACTCACATTTCACACAGAAACGCTATCTTCCTTGCAAGTCTGCCTAAGAAACTTGCATGCCACTTTCACTTAATTTCACGTGAAATGCACTGGCGCATGATGACATTATCATGTGACAAAAGCCCTCCATCAATAGGAGGGTGATGCAATCACCATGTGCAGTAACTCCCCCCATGCACTTGCACTCATGATAACTTCATTCTTTGACAAAGCAAGACAAAAATGTGCACTGGATGTAGGAAGGATGGGTGAGAATGTGTGAGAGGTATCTATCAGAAATACATTTTCAGAGTAGGAAAATGTTAACTTCCAAGACAATAACTCATCTCTTCACACAGAAAAACTAGAATCCCATGTTGCACTGGTGAAAGGACCAGTGCAAAATGTTATCTAGATGAATTCCCTTCAGAAAGCCCGTAGACTGTGATACTTGATAGCAGGGGCTCCATAGGGGCAGACCTGTGGGAGACTTTATACAATCTCGATCAGGGTATACTCTTTGCCCGGAATGTAAAAGGGAAGAGGCAAATGATCACCTGAGTACTTGTGCACAAGTGGTCAACAAGTCAATATGTGTAGTGTGGTTAGGACATGTTCAGACCGTATCTTGTGTGCTCACCAACTCAACTGGACAGGCTCTGGCTGCAGGAGGAAGGCACTTGAATTATGTATAATGGTGTCGTGTAGTGTGTGCTCACTTCAAATCTACTGAACAGACTCCATGTGTAGAAGGAAGGCACATTAATTTTGTATCATTTTTTTCCATACAGTGTGTGCTTACCTTGAATGAACTAAACAGGCTTTGGCTGCAGAAGGATGACATAAGAGGTATGTGTTATTGTTTAGAAGGTGCCACCACTGCCCTACTTTTCACTGTGTTGTGCTAAGCCCAACCTGTGAAGATTCTCCATGGAGGATGGAGAGTATTGTATAACTTCGTTATAGTATCCCAAATTCCCTTTTTCATTCACACCCAGAATTCATTGAACCAGGGCTGAGATGCTTTGACAAAATCAGGGTTATGTAAGTAATTGTAGGCATCTAGCAGACGTGATGGTCTTCGCTCAGCGAAGCACCTTTCAATTGCATCACACATTAGGACACAGAGCCGACCTGTTCTTTGGTTGATGGTTTTTAGCAGGAAGTTAAAGACTGTGTCTGCCTCGAGAAGATTAGTTGAACAGTCACCAAGTTTTTGAACTGCTAATTTGACAGGTTCCAGGGTGGCCACCATGTCTCTCATACAGTTAACTTCCTGGTATAATAAGGTTTGTTTGAAAGTTGGGAAATAGATCATCACTTTATCAATACAATTCTTTATCTTCAAAAATCATTTGTTCATATCCAGGCACAAATTACATCTTGTCTTATAGTCACGGATGAGTACCAGTTCTTTACCGTTACTTGTCACACATATTCTTGTAACTTGTCATTTTTCAATGGACTACAGCGGATCTGCACAACAACCTTACAAACCTTCTTTATCACATCAGAAATGATGGGAGTGAAGCAGGCAACTGGTTCATCATCATTTTCCTCGTAATCCTCACTTTCCTCGGCTTCACTATCACTATCTATTTCACTGTCACTTCCCTCATTCTCATCATCTTCTGCTTCATTGTTATCACCCACATCTTCCATGCTGATATCATTACCACAATAGAACACATTCTGTACTGACAGACATATGGCATGAGCGTAGCACGTCATGTGGTGTTCCTCAATTTTGTGCCCAAAACTCAACATCACCGATGCCTCATCAATTGTGACACATATCACAGGGCACACACAGTACCCCATAGAAAATTTCATTATTATTATTTTTATTTATATTGACCAATTAAACCATATCTAGCCTAAAAGTTTCTAATTTTTACATTTTTAGTTACTTTTATAATAATAATAATAATTAAAGAATAGATATGAAAAACAAGAAATATAGAATTTACCTTGTTTTTGCCATTGATTGTCCTTTTATATTAGCCCTAGTACTTTAAATCTATGCTACTAGTCCACAAAATAATTTTTTCTATAATTATATAATGCACAGAAGAACACAGAATAATAACACTTGAACAGCTGAGATAGTTCTGGGTATGCGAGAATTTTTCTGGCTCGCTAATCATGTGACTTGAACAGTTAGAAATTCAACTATTCTCATTGTGTTCTTGTAGGAAATTTTTTCCACATCAAACTAAATTGTCAGTTATTTGTAAGCCCACAAGGTATGATGACTATGGCAATAAATAGTTGAAATCTAGGTTTTCTGTTGGTTATAAATTTAATAGGAGTTGGCCTCAGAAAATTCTATTTGCAAGTTGTAAATTAGAGAACATCAATGGTAGGCATGGAAAGTGGTTTCTGAATTTTAATTGATTGCTCTTTAGCTCCACAACATTGAAGAATATAAAAAATACAGCTTCAGAATATCAATGACAAAATTATAGATAATATCATTCATTGTTTCATTGTTTTCTAGGGGGCAGACAAAAAATGCAGAAGAGAAGGCAGCTCAAGAACAAATATCCAAATTCTCACACTAAGGGAATTTGAAGCTTTTAAATATTTCCTTATATAATCAAGAACTTAAAACTTATATAATATTAAAATACGATTTATTATCTATGGTTTTACATCAAGTTTGTTCATATACCATGATAATTAATAGTTTAATTAAATTTTGAATGTAACTCACAAAAACATTGTGATATGTATAGTTTGACCTGCTCGCATGCTAAAGGTTAATCATGCACACACCTACCTAATGTGCAATCAGTCATGTAGGCACAGTCACATTCTCTTCCAGAAAATGGGAGTCACTAGTTTCCCATATTTCATGGTGAGACTTGCTTATCGACTGAAGTATGAACTCAAAAGTACCACACCAAACATTTACAATTCTGTGAAAAGTGAAGCTAAAATATCAGAGGAGGCATTCGGTCAAAAGTCAGAAGATGGGACATGTAATAACAGATAATATTCTCAACCACAAACCCTGATGTGTATGTGTCCCAAAAGAATGAGGGGTTCCAGGGAAGCCAAAGTTCCCAAAAGCAAAAGAACCTGTTATGCACGAAGAGAATGAAAAGTGAAAAGCCTATTGACCAGATACATCATAACTTGTAGGCAAGGAGGAGGAGGCTGAACTTTGCTAAAACAAGAGATGAAGAAAATGCTTAGGAGTAACAAATATTGAGTGAATGTGAGAAAGGACTTATATCTTGTGACAAGCCCTCCAACAGAGGATCCTCCTGTAAAAAAAAGGAGGTGTGAGAAGAGGAAATAATTCAAGAGTGGGTAAATAGAGGTCAATCGTCCAAGAAAAGGAATGCCAGCTCTGGGCCATAAAAATGGCGAGTGAAGGCCCAAACGATATTAGTGAATACTAAAGGGGCTTATATTTTGAGGAGGAGAGCAAGGAATGGAGATACACAAAATTGATGGATGAGGTGTAGAAAACATACGGAGGATGGGTCAAGAATAATGTGTAGGAAGGTGTCAGACACATCAATCATGGCTAACCACAGACTAGGTGAAAAAGAACACAGATGTGGTCAAAGAGAGGAGAAAAGGAAACAAACAGCAGGGAAAGAGACAGGTAGCCACGGGGTCTGATGTGATATGATAGTCTCTAACAAGAAAATAGATGAACTAGATGTTTGGTAAAGGGAGAACATGAAAAATGAAAAAGGCCAAGAACCTGTAATGGGAAATTTAGGGGTAGACTGATACAGATGAGGAACAGGAGTAAATGGCAAGATTGAGAAAGAAGAAAAATCTAGGAAGATAATGAGTACTAAAGCCATACAATGTCAGTCCAGGTATCCAGAGAGAAATGAACTCTCCTATTGGTGGAGGGCTTTTGTAGCATTAAGATGTGATTATGCAACAGTGCAATTCGTGTTAAAACACATGAAATTAGGTGGTAGTTGCTTCAAGGTTAGTGGTATGCAAGTCTCTTAGGCAGGCAGGCACTTGAGGAAGATAAGATTTTCTGTGTGCAGATATGAGTTATTATCTTGGAACTAATCAAATAAGAAACCTTACTCAATAAAGAAAGCACAAGGCAAAATTGAAAAAAAAATCTTTAGTCTTCAGTATGATTCTAACAAGGTAGTTGTAGCATCTGATTACATAAAGGATAATGTATGATCAGTATTTAACAAAACATTTTGTGGTTGCTGTGTTCTTGTTCAATATGTTGAACTAGTTTTGTTTTTATATTAATTATAACATTTTTAACAGTTCTACATTTAATGCCATTGACATTTTATCTCAAAATATGTAAACATGACAAATTTATTACTTCTACATAGAAATGCAACATGTAGAAAAATCTGAAGTTTGAATCTGCTATATTCAGGAACTTTGATATCAAAGTGACTGACAACAAATCAATTATCACACTAACCAACAAAAATCTAGTGGATAATTCCAATGTATCAATTTAATTTTGGTTTCAGGTGAAATACAAATCCACATCCTCTCTTATATGACAGCTAGATGTAATATATCAGTAATGTCAGTTAAAGCTGGGAGATTAACTTGATTATTGTCACTTAAAATAATCAATAAAAATTATGATTTAATAGTTGGAATACTTAAAAACACTAATTTCAATTAATTGATTACTTTTGTAACATTATTAGGTTGTGAAATATCCAAAATTTTGTTGAGACAATATTTCAAAAAAACAACATTAAAAATACTTCTATTATTTACTAAGCTTACCCGTTTTGTCAGTTTTCAAATTTCTGTACCTTTAAAATAGGTATAATTTAACAAGAAAAACATTTTCAGGAATGAAAGGAACATCCAAAATACCTATAAAAACTCTCTGACCTGTGGTTTGTTCTCGTCTTTTAAACTTACCGTCATATTTATTTCTTCACCACTACAGAAGCTTAATTTCTTTCTCAAGAAACCATAAATATCTGATCAAACTGAATTATTTACTCTACACTGATGTAAGTAGTTTTTTAACCTACTCTGTCCAATTACATGTAGAGCTATGTTTTACTAGTAACTGTTTTGACCACATGCTGTGACATTATAAAAAGGGGTAGTCACAAAGGGCTTTATCAGTAAAACTCCTAACAGTGAAAGTACATCATTTGAAAAAAAAACAAACAAACAAAGGTAATTATATTCTGAAGGAATCATAGTTTCTTAGCAAATATAAACCAAGACATTGGATAAGCAGAAAAATTCTCAAAAGGTAGATAAATGTGTTGTTTGCAGGTGAGACTTCTCGGACTTGTGCAGAAATGATTTTTTTTATTATTTTACTTTGTGCATTACAAAATGACAAAATACCAGTTCTAACATACTTTTAAATTAGAAATTGATGAAATTGTTAGAATTATTATTTTTACTTAAATTTTTAAAATTTAATATGCAGGTATGAATTCAACACTAACAAAGTGCTCACTGGTTTGGATAAGGTTAAGCCTAATGCATAAAAAGATTATAAGTGCAGTAATATATTTAATTATTGTAAAATTGCACTACAAGTTTGACAAAGTTAAATTCAGATACTTGAGATTAATATAAAGTTTGAAAAATATGAACATTAAAGGTTAGAACTGATTGTGTTCTCTCATGAAGTATGTCCCAATCATGTGTCCATATGATGTATATTACCAATTAATCTGAGCCATAAAAACAGGTTTATTTTTGATACCTACAAAGAAGACTATCACTCAACTACAACATGACACAGACTGAAGCCTTCTTACAAGTAGACTGATGAACAATTACTGAGAGATCTTAAAAATTCATACTTGCACTTTGTTAAAAGATTAATAATTACAAAGCTCTAAAAAAAATACACGATATTACCCATGAAATTGTGAAGTCCAACCTCACATAAATAATGACCAGGATAAACAGTAAGTAGAGGGCCACCACCACCAAAAGTGGTTCTTGCAACATCAAAATTTTCTGGAACTTGTAGTGAATCTATAAAGCAAGAAATTATCATTAGATACACTAATGTCAATGTTTGTTGTAACAGTGCTTAAGAAATTTTAACTGAGAAAGAATTGATTAAAAAAAACCTAAGTCCAATATAGCCTTAAGATTTCCTACAAGTTTTGTTATATATCTTAGTAATTTTGCTCATGTACAACTATTTTTGGTTTGATATTGTACTCCTAGGTACTTAATAGAATAGAATATAGGTGAACAAATATTTTAAATAAACCTGATATCAGTGTTTTAGGCTTTATTTGAATAACTATAGAAATACAAAATTGGCAAAGGTTATAAATAATCATAGAATATATATGTGTTCAATCACTGGTGTTTTGTAATTTAAAATGAATACTAGCCAAGTTTAATATATTGTAGAAGGTAATTCAATGGAAATAATAGTCCACTTTTAGCCATTTAGCAAAGAATAGTTGTTTTTATTAGCACTGTATGTAAATTGGTTTTGGTAAAATTCAGGAAGCCTAAAATACAGTCTATATATCTGATGTTAGAAAAACATGTAGCTTCAAGAAGTCTTGATATAAATGAATAAAAAATCCTATAACCTGAGTGCATTCAAAAGGTGGACCTTTCTTCTTCAGGGGCAAACTGGGAATTTCAGGTTTTTATTCATTTCTATACAGTCTATATAAATATTTTCCATTCATTATAAATCATTGCATTATGCACCCTTGACCACTATCCCAAGGTTCATTTTTGACTTTTATGCACAACTTATATGTCACATAGCCAAAAAACTATTTAAATGAAATGTTCCTATAGCACTACAGTGTATTCAGTTGACTGATGGAAATATTTTTTTTTTCAGAACCTGTATTGCACACTGCAGGGATTTAAACATTTCTGCAATAAAGTTAGTAAAAATGACCTTTACTCTCTAAATAATAATAAACTTATTTCAGCCAACATTTCACCATTGCAGCTTCATCAAGGATAGTAGTACACGAACTCTGATGACATCTCAATATCTGCTATAATTTATATGTACCTTTCTATCCAGGTCATTTTGAGAAAAACTGTCATAAACTATTACCCACAGTGTCTTGTGGTCAGTAATCAACAGTTTTTTTTCCTGTTTTTATCAACCCCTATTTGACTCTCATGGAGTCGTGTACTGATTATTAAACAATGTATTCATAGGAAATACATGTTTGTCATAAGAAATAGCTGTTAGGATTCGGAACGCGAAAAATCATAGAGATTGTTGAATGTCTTGACAAATGAGGGTTCACTGTACATACATAAACTTTTTTTTTAAAATTAAACTCTATCTTACCTCAAAGTCTTGAATATGCTGTTCCACTAGATTTGATTTTTCAAGTATTATGACAGGCCGACCAATGGTATCGAGGTACGTGAAATGAAGCTGATCTGGTTTTCGTTGAACTTGGTATGGTAATTTTAGTTGGATGTCTCTGAGTGCAGGAGAAAGAATAAGAAAATTCATTATTTTTATAATAAAGGGAAGTATTAAAAAAATTCATTTTTGAAGCTTATTTTTAGCACATCTTATTACCAGCATTTTAATCAAATCTGAAAAAAAAAATGACTGCACCAAAAAAAGAAAACATCATGTTGTAAATATCTTGCAGATTAGCTCACTTACAACAAATTTGAATGCCAATTGATATTACATATACATCTAGATTTTCTAAGACATCTTTACTGTCAAGAAAGTTACTTTGTTCCAAGGGATCATATATACAAGTTTGACAGATAGCATAGTGTTTACAGAATTGTAACAACGTTAAGTATGAAACATATCTGTAATTTCATTAATACATTTCTGGCAATGTTTGGCATATTCTTAAGTGAAGTATCTGTGTTTGCCATTTTTAATTTTTCCGAAAAGTACTATATACACTACTGCTGTAATTGCAGATAAGCATCCGTTATGCCAATCAAATAATTTCTATCACTCAGGTCTAGTAAATGACAAGGGAAGGAGCTGAAATGCAGAATATATAGAATATTAGCCTGCAGAAAAAATGTATCAGAAACAGAAATTTACTTTTAAGATTGAAAAATTCTGAGGATAGATTTAGCAGACAACCTTAATAACTTTGTAATACATACAGAATACAAATAAAAGTGCTAAAAATTTTTAAATTTTAATTTTGTGACTGACTACAATAAAGACCAGTGTTGTCATTGTACCTCCAGTCACTTTTGTTATTACCATTTTTTGTGTCTGACTTAAGAGTAACAAGAACCAGTGTAATAAAGAATTTTAAATTCAAAATAAATGCCCCCTGACAGAATATAAAGAGTAACTAATATTCCCACTGGACTAATAACAAGCATATTGAATTAAGAAGGATGAATGGCTCTTACTATTGATATATTGATTTAACACATATACTTCTATGACTTAATACATTGTAATTCAACTACACTATGAAATGGATTACCTAAAACATTAACCTCTTTAAAAGATCCACTTACTGAAAGTTGGATTCTTAAAAAATTGGACAACACAGAGTTCACTCAACATTACACTTGTGTTAAAATTTTCATTACCCATTTGCACATTGATTTGTAAAGTCATTTTGAGCATGTTTAACTCAATCAAATTGAAAGTTGTTAGTTGAGACAAAATAGCAAATATCAGCAGACATGAACATGTCTTGACACAACTGCACAGAGAAAAAGAATAAGGATTTTTTGAACATGGATATAGAGGGAGGACTTGAGCAAGAAGGTATGTTGCACTCCTATTGGTGAAGGGTTTAGCTGCATGATACATCATCTTGTAGTAGCACAAATTCACAAGGCTGGTGGCATACAAGTCTCTATGGCAGATACGTGCAACTTCAAAAGAAAAACAGCTATCTGTGTACTGAGATGAATTTTCGTATTGGAATACAGGCTTTGACCACTAAAGCAAAACAGACAATCATTTAAATATGCTCTTTCTATTGGTTATAAACACATCCAATAGCAGTGTCAGAGAGAATTACAGACATTTCTTAAAAAACAAAGGATAGATATGGGAGGGATGTGTTACATAGGTTGAACAAATATATAGTGATATCCTAGTAATGTAAAAATAGGTTGAATTCTAAATTTTGGCTTGTCAATATCTAAAGTACGTGTCTCTAGTTGTTTAAACACTTTGAAGCCCTCATAAAAGAAAAGAAAAATCTGAATGAGAAGTACAGCAAAACCTCACCATGTGACTCAGAGGTGCAGATTGAGAATTTATTTAGATGTTCACTTTTGAAATTAAAAATTAAAACTAAGATAATATAAAAATATAAGTTATAACTATGCTTTGAGGCCAAATATATTTAGATATTAAAGTAATTTGAATAAATGTTGCATGTAACTCTGTAAAAAAGGTAATGACCCTCCTATGCCCACAGGGTTAAGTGCAAAAGAAATTACTAACAGACTGACAAACATATTTTTTACCACCTTTTATTTATTTTTCAGGCTATTGTGCTCTGCCATTTTAATAAGTACACATTCTAATATCACCACAGATATCTCATTAATTTTACATCTTTTTTTTTATGAATACATAAGTCTGAAACTTACTTCACTCCTTCTGGTAGGATGACTTTTACTTCAGCATGATCGATCACATTATCGTCAAACACATGATCAACAAATCGCATCTTCAGAACATAATAGTCCCCTTTAAAAGATGGTTATAATTATTAACATTGCATTAGTAGCTAAACTAACAGATCTAAAGTCTAGTAAACAAGATAATCCTTAAAACACAAAGAGACAATTAACTAGTCTTTAGATTGTATTTGCTTAATAAAACAATGTATTTAACTAGTTTTTATGATTTATCAGTAAGATGAATTACAGCTAAGCTTATAAGTACAATTACATGTCTTAAGTATAATTTAACATTGTGGTACAGATTATACCACTAAGATCTAATTTAAAACCCTACTATTTGTATTTACCAATCTTACTAAATCTAGTTAATCTTTCGTTATTCAACCCAAATCACTACAAATAATAATATGAATATTAAATATCATCAAACACATGATCAACAAATCTCATCTTCAGAACCTAGTAGTCCCCTTTAAAAAGATGGTTGCTATTATTAACATTGTATTATTAGTTTTACAGAACGGGATCACAATAATTATAAAGCAATTGATTTTGTATTGGTAAATTGTGTTCTACTAATTAGTATTAGCACAAACACTTGAATGTTGAGTACTGGGGATCTAATCACTAGGTAGAAAAAATGGGGCCACCCCGTTATATTTTTTACATAAAACATTATAATCTTTAATTTTGTCATTTATTATTTACTAACTGCAGTAACAATTGATCAATTTCTACATTGCACGATGAAAGCTTTCCTTGGCTTTTCCTGCCATGAGGTCCTCCTTGTTAGTAGCACACAATTTTCAAGAAAAATGGTGCTACATCCAAGTGAAATAGCCATGTGATGAATTTCATAAAATGGGACAGAGCATCTCTGCCCACAATAAAACAGGAAACAGTATGGATGTTAAAATGACAAATCTAAGAAAAATGTAGACACAACATCTCAATTTTATTTTAAAGTATATGAAGGTGAATAGGATTAAAAGAGCAACATGAAGATAATTTTTGTACATGGCCCAGGATGCATTATAAAGTAATTTTCTTCGTCCCTGATCTTAAAATTTCAACCAAAACAATGTAATCATTTTAAATACGAAAGTTTACTGTTTCAATATATCCATGTAGACTTTCCCAAAAACTGATAACAGCAACTGTACAATTTACATAACTGCATTAAATCTATAATTCTTGATTTACTTTTTTCTCAAAATTGTAATTACAACAAAAAAACAACTAATAACTCTCCATAATGCTTGTGACTTACTTTCAATATTATGAAAGAAACAAACCTGAATTAAACAGATATTCATAAGTTGGAACATAATAGCCAAGTACATAGTGTGTCTTCCATCCTCCAAACAAAGGAAAACGTGGTCTCAGCTCCAGCTCTACTGAATCATCCAAAACCCGCATATGGCTAGTAGAAATATTACCAATTTCATCCCTGTAGTAAACATCCATGGCTGATGCTGGTAAAACAGTCTGTTTGATGAAATAATTTCATTATTACTAAGTTAAAATATACAATACATTGATCAAATTAACTTCACACCACTCAAATCACAGGAATTATCTTTACCCTAGGTTAAATTAAAAAACTGCAAAATACAAAAAAATTTTTTTGTGGAAAAAAGAGAGCTATACTAACAACTATCAATGCAAAATATACAGCAAAAAATTACCAAAAATGTGAAATATACATAGCTTTTCAAATTCCCTGTGAAAAATATAGAGCAATACATTATAGCAATTAGGTATAAGTTCATAACTAATACTAACTTGATCAGACTTAATGAAGACATCACAGGATCCGAGAAGTAAATTGTGTTTTAATGTTATGACAACTTCAATGAAGTTTCTGTAGTTGCTACCTAAATAGTACATCCTTTTGAGTTTTACAACCATTTATTCAAATGAAGGCAATCATGACAGAGGAAATACATCCTAACATAACCATTGAACCTATTATGATAGATAATGGAAATTTTGTTTAAAATACATAAAAAAATTTCTGGAAATAAGAAAAAAATAAACAAACAAAAAATAACAACAAAGAATTCATATAAATTACACAACTATTAAACAAAAAGTGATTGGGTTTGTGAAAAATAGTGTGCTTAATTAATAAGTTTAATCAAAGTAAGCTACTTACATATATCATTAACAAAAATCAACCCTGTAGAAGTATAGTATTGCTTATTAAATATATGTTTTTATGTTCTTACTTATAAAGATAGATCGCACTGTTTCACCAGCTTTTTATCTTTGCTGTTAGCAATATTTCCAGCCACAATCTCAATAATATCTCAAGGTTCAGCCACCTTAGGACATTTAGTTAATTTTAAGTCCATACACTGAGATAACAATGTAAAATAATCTCTATAATAAAAAGTAAAAAATGGTGAGGATAAATATTCTAACTAATACTGTTAATGATATTAAACTGTTGGAGATGCAGATTCAGCTAGAAGGTCATAGGTGACACTACCATAACACTCACACAGTGATGATCAGTATAAAAAAACTTAATTATTAAGAATATGAAGTTCCATGAATATTAGAGCTGGGCAATTAACTGTGTATTGTCGATTACCTATGAGCATTGATTACGTCAGTGTCCAGCAAAATGACTGATGAAAAATAATCAACTAGTGTTTCTAATTATTATTATTTTAGATTATTCCAACTACCAAGCAATCAAACTTATGATGAAATTGATTAATATCGCAAAAATAATAAACTAATCAAAACTAGTGTTTTAAATTATTACTTATTTTGATTATTCCAATAATTGAAATATTTCCATTTTTGTTTGTTTTCAAGCACAAAACTACACGATGGGTTGTCTGTGCTCTGCCCACTGCTGGTACCAAAGCCTGCTTTTTAAAAGTTAAGTTCTATAAGCCATATCACACGAGAATAATTGATTAGTTGACTATAATCAATTATTGAGACTGATGATTAAATTATTTCCATATTCCACTAATAGCCCAGCTCTTATGGTTATACATTAAAGTACAAAAAAGTGCTGAAATTTGATTTATGCAAAGAAACAGATAAAAATGTATTACAGCATGCAATGTGATAAAAAATAAAGCTTATTTCCATTCTCAGATATTAAATGTACTTCAATTTTCAGCTTGTTTAGATAATTAATGTAAGTGAAGATTGTAGGAATTAATTTATATAGCTTGCCTATGTTTTCATTACAACTAACTATCTTATTTGAAGCTCATCTTTCTGTATTTTGTAATTACATGTGAAACATGCTGTTCAACGTCCTGGGTCTTGTATATATTTTTATATAGATACATATTTGGTAAGCTCTGCTAATAGCAATTAGTCATACTATGAGTTTACAAGTATCACTATCAACTATCTAAAGTATAGGTACATTTCATTTTAGTCTACCCTTATGTTTAGGCAAAGCAACATATACCCCAAACTGTTCAACAAGATTTGTATAACAATACAGTACCTCATCTGTATAAACTAAAGTTCTACAGTGTACCTAAACTTGCAAGTAAAAGGATAATCTAAACTTTAAGAACACTGTAAGCTGCCCTTAACCCTATGGTTACGGGGTTTGTCCACTGAACCAAGCCCATATTAGAGAATCAATGCTTCCTATAATTCCAAATTTACATAAGGTATCTACATAAAATGAGGCAAATTTATAGAAAATATTACAAGTATGTTGTATACAAAAAGAAGGAAAAAAAATCAGATTTTTAAATAAAATACTTCTACTAAAGATTTGTCTCTAAATTTACTTTAGTCAGTCTAACTCAGATTCTGACTAGCCTAAACAGCCACAGGCTTATAAGAGTTTACACCTGTTTTTAATTTTATTGTGTTATTACTCAGTGAACCATGTCCAACTACTAAATCCATGTAAAAGAAACCTATAAGTTACCCAGTGGGTGTATAGCTCGGGTTACAGTAAACAAAAAGTATTGCATACCTCACAGAAATATTTTTTTTATTTAAATGTTTTTCAATTATGCTTTCTTATCTAACTAAATGAGTTTCTAATACTTGCATTTGAGTTTCTTTTATAACAATATATAAAATATATATATAACAGAAACACAAATTTAGTATTTATGCCTGGCCTCTTGTTCTTTTGGCTCTCATTCCTCATTTTTGTAATGATCTTAGTACTACATTAAAATTTTTTTTTTATTTACTTTAAATATGAATTAAGAACACAAAATATTAATATGTAAAAAAATACAATGACCTGAAACTATTATTATTTAACTGACTTTCAAACTAAGCTATAAGTGAATTAAAATAATTCCCTTACCCAGTCAAGGTGACATTACCAATAGCAAACTATGAAATTGATGCAGAACAACTCAAGATGTATCATAAGAATGACCTAGCCTCATAAAACATTCAGTAAATTGAAATCTTCTCTTTCTCTTGGTTATAAATATTTCAAAAGCAAATGTCAGAGAGAATTAATAAAGATTAGCTATACAATTAGTTTAAGTCTTAGCAATATCTATACAACAATTTATGGGCAATTTGGAGTGAACAAATGTCACGATACATGGAAATAAAGATTCAGAATATTTTATAAATGTTTCTTTTGAAATTAAACTTATAAGATTTAATTGATTAACTACATTTTGATGTCATGTTTACCCCTACCCATAAAAATAGGGTTAAATCATTGATTATAAGTGTATGTAGCTGCAGCTCAATTGATAAGAAATAGTCCAGTTTGAAAGAGCCTCTATACTTAGCCATACATTCTTCTACAGATTAGACTGCATTTTTGGTTTTAACAGTAGAATTTTAACATACATTTTTCTCAAAATGATATTTCTCAGAAGTTTTAGCACTTTTTTTTTTGTTAAAAATGATGTTGAACAGCATGAATGTATGAATGTTAACAAAGCTCAAGCCTTGGTGATTAATATACTATATCACCAAGTTCCAAATTTCTTCATATATATATTATAAAGGAAGATAAAAGTTCATACATAATATGTACCTTAAAAACCTTAACAGAGGAAACACCACTCTGATCTCTTTGATAATCATAACGAGAAAAAGGGCCTTTAAGCACAGCTCCAGCATGGTGGATATCAATCTCTTCTTCAACAGAAATTACACCCCAGTGAGAAACTTCCAGGGCTCTGTGGAGTTTACTTACAGCTAGAAATGGGTTGTTGTTTTCTGAATGGACTGTCATCTTGTTCTGTTGAAAAAGATATACAATTGTTATTTTTAGCTGTTCAACTTTTAAATAGCAAAGCAAGTTTAACTTATTGATTAACAGTTATTTGATGCCTTCATTATTTTACTTGTATCTTAGAAATGTTATCTAACTGTACATGGGAAAAACAATTTCTTTTTCAAAAATTACAAGCAGTCTAGTATTTTGAACTCTGAAGCACATATAGTTTTATATTATTTTTTATTCTAATATTACATCAATATTAACTCCAAGAACATTATAAAATGTAAACTTTTATGCAGTCTTTTACTTACAAAACTCATGGGTCCAACATTTTCATATGGTCCGTAAGTGATTGTTGCATCAGTCTGAGAAACAGGCTTCAATTTTGTGTAAGATTCAACTGAGTTAGATGCCAAGGTGAGTTTTGTAGTCTGAGTTTTTGTTAGGTAAGGAGAGTAATAGTAGTGATTGCCATGGTAGTACACCAACTGACGTTCAGATTGAGTAATTTGTGAAGGATATGGGATCAAGAAATGTGTAAAAACAGTCTCCACCTTTATAGTAACTGTTCTTCCTGTTTGTAAAGGAGTTTTAAGTTCAATCCTCCAAAATGCTTCTTTTCTTTAAGAAAAAGAAAGTTGTATGCAAAATTTGATGACCAAAAAACAAGTATACAGAGTGCATTCAAAGATTCACACCATAAAACAAGATAGTTGGTTTAAATATTTGTAAAGAAGTTATCTTGGAAAACAAACATGTTTTGAAATCATGCATGAAGTAAAACAAATATCAGTATTATTTGAAAGCAAAGTACAACTAACAAATATTCTCCACAGACTAAAAACTTTGCAAGTTCCAAATTACAACAAACAATATCTTTGAAATCAACACTTTGAAAAGTGTTTTATCTGTCAAATTACCAAAATATTATTTAAAAAATTTCATGTTTAAAAAAAATCCTTCTTAGTAAGTATGCAAGTTCATCATTTAAGAATCAGTCAAATAAAATTTGTGAAATTTTTTCAAAATCTTCATAAACACTTAGTGTAAAAAAATAGTGTAATACACCCTTCATTTACCGATATTATGAAAATTACCATTTTAGTATAATTACCTAAATGTTTGTATGAGAATAACTGCATAGTATACAACATTTCAACATCTGACAATGATTGATGATAAGTTTTTAAACATAGTTGAAGCCATTTTTATGTTCAATCAGGATAAAGAGTTTAAAAGTCATACCTGAATATACCAAATTCAAATTAATTGAAACTTCTAAAATTAATATAAAGAACCTAAAACAAAATAAATGGTACTGGTGTATCAAATAATTTAATCAAATTAGGTGGAGCTAAAAACACCAGTACAGTTTATTACATTAGCTTTATTATGACTAACAAAAAGAAAAAAACTGGCTTCTTACTTGTTGTCAGCAATAGCAGTGGGGAAAACTCTCAAGGTTGGTTTCCCTTCTTCCTGAGACTGATAGAAAAATAAACCCGTAAGTTTTCATCAATAAGAATTAGCAATCACAGCAAGAATACTAAAACCACAAAATATGCTGATGATCTAATTAATATGGAACACTTTTTAACAAACTGAAACTCAGCAGAGAACAGAGTAAAATACAAAATTTGGTAAGCAGCTTTTTAGTACAGTAATTTAAATGATTGTTTATGCAGAATTTTTCCTTCAATAAAAAGCACCATGGATAATACATTAAAAGCTGAACATTTTAAGCTAAATGTTTTTGCCAAATGCTATCATAATCAGGTGTATGAATGTATTACAAACAATTCATTGATCAGTAAATAAATGTTGAGTGCTGCATTACAAGATTATAGCACGTCACTCTAATTTTGAGAAAATAACAGAAGTTGTGAACATGCAAGTGCATATTAACAGTTAAGATGGAGAGTTTTCTACTTGGAAATTAAGCCCTGGTAGCTCAGTTGGTACAGAACATTGGTTTTAGTACATTAATGTAAGACAAAAGTCCCAAGACTCAGTGAGACAAATTTTTTTAATGATAAGATTTGTTATAACATGTATTATATACCAAAGATCAAGCCTAACTTAAAAAAAAAAGAGCTATTAACATAGTTATTCTGTTCATTCTAAAGCAGAGACCACTATGGCAAATACAATGGTATAACTAAGAATTTTCCCTTCGCCTATGCTAAAAGTACTTGTTTAAAGAAAGTTATGCTTAACACATATAAACTAGCTTCAATGATATAAACACAGATAAACTGTTCTGATGGTTATGGAAGGCAGTCATAAGAGCTTAAATATCTTCAGCTACAGGGATAGACATCAAAATTAAAAAGTTTGTAATGATAACAATGTTCTCATTCTTCAGCCTCGCTAACAAATCAGTAGAAATGTTTTAAAAAACTACCCAAAACAACAAAACTATTAACTTTGTCAGATATTGCAATAATAATAATACCAACAGCATTTTTCTGATTACTTGAGGTAGAAACTTCCTTACAGTTAAAATTATTGGGACTTTAATGATTTTAAAACCATTCAAATTATAATAAATAATATTTTAGAGTATTTAGAAGCACACACTTCAAAACATCACTGAATGGCACAGATTGTATGACAAAGAAACTTGTATGACTTAAACTTGTAATGATATTGCCATTCTTATTGTTTACTGTTTTTGTTGCTTATCATTACTACTCTTCTTTTCTGATTACTGGAGATAATAAAATGTCTGATGTGTTGACGGTAGTAAACCAGTTGGAATTTCATCAGTGAGTCTGATTTGAAGTGCAAACTAAAGGCCTTTAGCCATGATAGAGTAAGATTCACTGGATAAAATAGATTTACAAGCAAACATGAATTTGGATCCATTTTTATCTGTTCTTAGTGGATCTCCATCAATAATGGTTTGTCAATGTCAAATTAGGATGGATTATGTCTGTTGTGTTAAGCTTTGAAAAATTTTTCTTTTGATTTTTGGATTATAAAAGTTGGTTCAATTTCTTATGTGTTGTATGACAACCCCATTTTGTTTGGATGGCAGATTTGATGGGTTGTCGTCTTGATCTTTAGATAATTCATGTTGGTTCAGTTTCTTCAGTGTTATATGATGATCCTATCCTTTGTGGATGGTAAATAGTAAATTTTCTTCACATCTGATCTGCCTATAGAATAAAGCACTGTCTTCCTTCTTTCATATTTCAAAATAGCCTAAGGAAACTTCCTCTGATGCATACACAGAAGAAACATAAAAGCTTGGTCCTTTCATCTTATATAGTGCATTCTGAAATTCATTAGGAGTAACATTTTTCATGACTTACTTTGTGAATGACAGCTTTATATAATTAATTTCAGTTTTATTCTTTACAAACTTTCAAAAACATTCTGGTTTTGGATTCAGTTTGATATATTTGTGGTAGTTTGAGTTCTCAAGAAGTTTAACTTTAACTCAGTTGGTAGTGCAATCACTTGTAGTGAAAACAGTCTGAAGTTCAAATCTTGAACATGGGATATGCAAAAATGAAATTACCATAAGAAAAACTGACACCTAAGTTATAGTCATCCACAACCCTCAGATAAGTTCTCAAGAAGGTCATTGTTAGTGCAATGGGAAGAATGCGGCAGTTTGAATTGTTTAGTTGCCTCACTAGCAGTACTTTGTGGATTAACTCTTTCACTCCATTGGTAGAGCATTCACTTGCAGTATAAGCTGTCTCAAGTTCAGATCCTTGCTTCAGCCTATCTTAACCCTTTCCAGACGGGTCAAAGGTCTAAGTCCATGTCATCACATTTGTTGACTCGCATTCAAAATTATATTGAACTACTATTTCATGAATTTATATCAATAAGTTTGGCATCAAACTGTAGATTATAATTTAAATGTTAGTATTATACCTTACTCAATTTCTTAATTTAAAAGTAAATATTATAAAACTACAATTAACCATCAATTTTTGTGTCACCTGGTATGTTGAATGCAGTACTGGTTCAAATTAGATGTTTGTGATGTCAAAATACGAAGTCTATAGTTTCGTATGAATTAGGAACTCAAATTACCAATATTAACAATCTAGAATATGAAATAAAAGCCTCTTATCTTTTCAATTTGCTAAGATATTGCTCATGTAATAAATCAAACACAATGGCAACCCACCCACCTCTTTCCATTTTTGGAAAAGCTCCCTTATATACACTTCTATATATGACATGAATAACCAATCGAAAGCTCAGAATGTCCACCTAGTGGCTTTCTCAGCCATTTTAACAAACTTGGATGCCATTCTTTCTTTTGAACCAATATTTCAACGAGGTAAGGTGTGTCTTCAGAAGGGATAATTGTTTGCTATATTTCTTTATTTACTGTTCTATGTTTTAAGAAAAGTAAGTTTAGGAACTTATTTCTAAATAGCAATAATTATATATATATATATATATATAACAATAATAATTGAAATGTGACTGTATCTTACAAAATACTAGTCCACTAAAACATAGCCAAGACAGGTCACTTTGTAAAGACTAAAGGTCAGTTTCATATTATTGGATAGGGTACCATGAGTGCACACGCGCCACATCATTGTAACTTCCAAAACATACATACCTCCACTGACACTTATAGCTAGAATCCCACATTGAGAAGGTGGAGGGGCCAGTGAGGGCATAGTTTATACAGAAAGCGTCTGCATAGAAGAAAGGTGTACAGAAAAGAGAAAACGATGGAATAGTACACAAGTTTGATGGGCCAGCCCCAATCATGCAGCCAAGGTTCTATGACTCGGGGGTGGATTTAAGGGTTCATGGTACCCATATCCCACACTGGTGGCCAGGGCATTGAACCGCAAATATATACACATCTTTGTGATAGGATCCCTACCTGTAGCCATGGAATGATGCGTTTCGAACTAATGGATTTATGCAAGAAAGAAAGCAACACCAAAGTGGACAGTCCTTCTGAACAACCTGAAAAAGTCCAAAAGGCAACATCCCAGGCTCAGATTAAAGGGATCACTTATGCCATACCCCACCCAAGGTCCAGAAATCATCTGGTCTGGATTTACGAACAATCATCTTCACCCCCCCCAACCAAACTGCCAAGGAGAATTCCACTTACCCATGGAATTATAGAGAGAACTTGGAACACTGTTCCATTAAGGACTTAAGATGGGACAGCGTCGTGTTCAGATTTAAGAGGAGATAGTGGACCCCCTGTATGAACAATTTTAGACCCAACAGTGTTCATAAGAGGGACCAAGCACCCCACCATATAGCTAACTGTCAAATCTGGACCAGTTTTACGAGTAGGCTCCCGTGTAGGTTGATCCTGCTCCTTCAGACATCTGTGAAAAACTTCCAGGGACCCGGGCAGGAGGGTCTCCAATTTCGCCCTCTTCTCCAAATGTAGAGAAAACTCAACACTCCGAGGGAAAATGTTCTGTCCACCACCCCAATGACTGGAAACTGAGTGTGGTAAGGACTCCTTGTATGAACAATCTTAGACCCAACAGTGTTCATAAGAGGGTCCAAGCACCCCAATGTATAGCTAACCGTCTAATCTGGACCAGTTTTACGAGTAGGCTCCCGCGTAGGTTGGTCATGCTCCTACAGACATGTGGGAAAAACTTCCAGAGACCCTGGCAGGAGGGTCTCCAATTTCGCCCTATTCTCCAAATGTGGAGAAAACTCAACACTGTGAGGGAAAAATCCTCTGTCCACCCCCACCCCCCCAAATGACTGGAAACTGAGTGTGGTAAGAACTCCTTAGCTCCAGTTATAGAATTTGGGGTGGGACATTTGCACGGTGGGGAGTCCGAAGGAAAAGGTCTCCAGAGACAGTGCAACAGGTGAACCACACTCCCTAAGTTTTAAAAGCAAACTGATTCAACTCTAAGATCAGTAGGGACTGGCAAAATCACCTTTAGCTTTATTCATGATAGTCCACGAATAGTAGGCCATTGGATTGGTATTGTGGGATAATACTAGTGCAGAATTGAAAAATACAAGCACACCTGACTGGGCAACACCCGCCACTGAGTGGGATCCTAAAGAAATAAAGACGGACCCTAGAAGAAAAAAATAAAAAAGTAAATTGGGTAAGAAAGGATCCCAATGAAACATAGCTGGTTTCTAGAGCCCCTGAACAGTTCTATACAAGCCACATAACATCTAAGTGCCCTGATTGGACACAACAAACGATCGGGGTCTGATTGCCTGTAAAGATGAGAAATGCCTGGTAAATGAATAGGAGAAAAGGATTGATCGGGACAGAGCAAAACATAGGTGGAATGATAGAGAGCCCACTGAACATGAATGGCAGTGTCCGGAATTTGACAACAATAACAAAATATATCTTGAGGGAAAGGTGATATAATGAACAGGAGGCCATAGGTTCAAAGGAATGATATGATAATGTGTATAAAACAACCCTAAAGTCTCAATTAGGCAATTGAAAAGGTCGTTTGGGTCGAAGAATATGAAAAGTTCATAAGAGA